GTGTGTTTTGAAAGTAAAGTGTGTCAATAATGACTGTCCTGTGGATGTTTTGTGGGCAAGTGCCCAATTACCCATATGGTTAATCTGGCCCACAGCCTAACTTTGCCTAATTTGATAATAAAAAAAAGCAGTACTGCTTCTTCACCATTAATAGAGGGCAATGAGGGCGTCTACGTTTTGACACTTCTGGAAGGGAATTATACCGAATCGTTCTGATGACAGACTTTGGCTCAGGCATTTCAGAATGATCAAACCAACATTTGAGATGCTGTGCGATGAGAAACGTCTGCTGGTTAGGCCAGTTATCCAATCACATCCACTGTTCAGGCAAAGTCACGTCCGCATCGAGGGATTTATTAAAAATAAACAATAAAGCTTCTTCACCCTTAATAGAGGGCAATGAAGGCATACTTGCATAATTGTCAGATTATATCCTTTTAGCATTTAAACCTCATTAAAGGAACATTTCACCCAAATATGAAGATTATATCACTTACTCATCCTCATATCTTTCCACACTATGACTTTCTTTCTTCTGTTGAACATGCTCTTTTTCTTACAATGAAAGTGAATGGTGACCACAGATGCAAAGCTGGATTTTCAGTAATAACGACTTAAATTTTAGTCTGTTTCTCACAAACAGAGGATTTGGAATACAGTGCACACGTCATATGAACTAGTTTTAATGCATTTACGCTGCATTTTGGAGTTTGATATTCATTGTTTCATTATTAAAGGTACAATATGCAGGATTTTTGCAGTAAAGTATCCAAAAACCACTAGCCCAATGTTATACACTTTGTTTAGTTGATTACTTACAATATCCCAAATGTTTCCAACTATTTGTAAATCGTGTGAAAATTGCGATTTTTAACCAAGGAAACGGGGCGTGTGAGCAGGGGTGAGGAGTCGCCAGTCAATGACGTCATATCCGCGTTACCCCTGGTTTCGGCCAGGTTTGACCTCGAACTGCCATAGTAACCATGGCGACAGACGTGGACAACTGGGTCTGTTATGCCCAACTTTGAGACAAAAAAAGAGGACTAAAATGAAGATCAACATCTTTCGAGATGCCGAGAGCTCCACGTCCGCGACTAACTTCGACTTGACAGAGACGCAAGTGTTGCATGTTACTTGAGCAAACAGGCGAGCAAATCAATGGATATAAAACTAATCAATGTTATATAGTTCAACATGATGAACTGTATGTTATGATCTGTATGTTATTCTCTAATGTTGATCTAGCTTAGTCTCATACAACCAACAAACAACCTAACTAACAACATTAAACACACAAATGCCGTTTAGTGTGATAGTGAATTTGTTAGAACAAGTGAAGCAGCGCTGCGTTACCTCAAGTTTAATTCCTCTAAAAACTGATCTGTGTGAGTAATTCAGCACTTGTGTGTAGTTCGGTAGAAATAAATGTCCTTAGTCCTTTATATCCGCGGGACTCGCGTTGTGTGTGGCGCTGGTATATTCTAGCAATTGCGCCCTGCTTCATACCACAGTCATGTTAAAAACATCACTGTATTCACTCATCCAAAAAAGATCCATCAGCTTGACGACAAGATCCATAATTCTGCTTAATATACGTCATTAATATACGCCTTTGTTATTGTAAGAGGTTAGCGACCCCTGGTGGCGAAAAAATCTTGCATATTGTACCTTTAAGGAAGAGAGCAACTCAGACATTCCTCTAAATCTTTCACTTTGTGCTCCATGAAACTAAGAGTTTGGAACGACATGCTGGTGAGTAAATGATATCAAGATTTTAGACCATGGGTAATCCTTTAATAGGCGGTAAACTGTTTGGCATATTTACTTGGGGAGAAGTCTTGTTGGGTTTCAGGGGAAAAAAAATATGATTTCAGCATTTTGCCATGGCAGATGATGGATTATATCATCTTAACCTTTAACCTTTTGTAGATTTCCAAGACTTGCACACTCTGCAACACTCCAGCTGGGTCTGCTGTGAATAAACTCAATGCAATATTGAAAGAGGATCCAAGGGAAGATGAGTAATAAAGAATGTTTAAAACACAGGAGGTTATGTGCGTTCGTGAGCAGGGGCTGGGCCACACTGATTTTTAATTGTCATGGTTAAGGTCAAGGTTTCCATAGCAACAGGCACCATTGAGGTTGCAGTGATAATGGTATGAATAATTTATCACATGGAAGGATTATGACTGAGTTCCAAAACACACCTCATGGTGTGTGACTGTATGTGCACCTGTTTATGCACGCAAAATGTATGCTTAACTTCTTCCTTTATCGTGAAACCATCACCACCGTTACTAGAAAGTCATTGCATGGCAACTTCAGGTGAGGAGTTGCCATGGTATTTCTGTCACATTCTCTAATTAGCATCACAGTGACATTGAGTCGTCATGGAAATGCTCAGTTGCGTTTTTCTCATTCCATTCCGTTGTGTTTATGAAGGTGTCTTGCGAAAATTAGATGCTTAATTAATTGTATATTAAATGTGCAATAATTACGTATCCATTAATTTAGAGATAAAGTTGAATAGCGAAATTAATTAACTAATTTATCATAAGCATAATTGATTAGGCTGTGATCAGCGAGTACGAATAATAATGTCATTCATACATAATGAATAGCTTCTTTAGCATGTTTCGTAGAATAAGACTGCTATTAAGGTCAAACGAGCAGCACACACACATACAGGTTGTTTATTTCACTATTTAGTGATTTTTTTTTTTCTATGCATTTCGAATTTCTCTTGCTTTCTGTCTGTCTCAACACTCCCATCCCTCTCTCACCCTCTGAGAAGGCTGCCATCTGGACCACTTTCATTTAGAGCACACACACACACACTTACACACGCATACATCTGGAGATTAATCTATCAAGCCATAGACTTTTGATGGAAATATCACCCAGAATTGAATGCATGATTTTGATTAGGATTGTCAGTGTTTTGCTGTAATATGTCATTGTGCGAATGGGTGGCTAATAACCAGCTGTGATTAAACATAGGGCTGGGCGATATGGCCCAAAAAAATTATCACAATAATTTTTTTTATATCAGTCGATATCGATAATTATCACGATATATGTCAAATATTTATTTTTTTTACGTTTAAAGGCAGATTTTTGTAAATAAGTGAAAGTTGTATAAACCAGAGTGTTAATTGTGTTTTTAAACTACTCTTTAAATTTATGTTTATTAACAAAAACAGTAACATCTGTTTTTTTGTTGTTGTTGTTTTTTTCCTATGCAACAACCATATTTTTATGTGGTAAAAAGTAATATTCTGACTGTTTGAGTTGTATTCAAATTAACCATTGGTCATCCAGTATCATGCATTTTTAGATCATGATAACCACAGATAAAACCAGTTATACCCTATAACTTAGCTCCTCACTATAATGGCATAACTTTATGGTTTCTGTATTTTTTGTGTGAAAAACAATAGCCTAACAGTTAAATACATTATTAAATACTGTACTTATATTCCATTAGTCATAATACATTGTCTACATTAATAATATTATACAATATGTATATCCCACATTTCATGGTGCAGTTAATATTACCAGGCTAACCTTACAGTAAATCCATGGGAAGCTAAATGGATTCAGTATCAATTCAGATTCTGACTGTATCGTTGCACGCAGTGTTTCTCCTTTTTGTCAGCGGTGTTTCATCTGCCTTTAAACTGGTTTAAACTTGACATTTGTGTTCTTCGCTGAACTCAAGTGCTTCTCACTGGATCTCGTGAGCAAAACGATCAGAGGCGCGTCTGCGTGAGCTCGCGCTGCGCTGACTGCTGTTTGGACTTTGACCCGAGCGGATAAATGCTCCGTGTGGCGCGCGCGGTTTAAATGAGTTTCGTTCCGCTTTTGACGCATAAACAGTATCGAACATTTATCGACCTCTTGATATCGTTTTATCGAGGAAAATTATATCGCGATAATTATCGTTATCGTTTTATCGCCCAGCCCTAATTAAACAGTAATGGAAACTTTACTATACCTGCTGGCTTTATCTAAGAGGAATACCCTCTGTGACTGATCTACTTTGACCTTAGTCCTCAATATTAACATGGTGGGAAAGTATTTTATAACTGCTAACTAGAATCCTGCTTCAACGGTGTCACAAATGGTTGCACAAATGTGAGGAAAGGATCTATTTGCACCAGTGTCAATATATGCCAGTTTCACAGACAAGGATTAAGCCTAGTCCGAGACTAAAATGCATGTGTGTGAAACTAGACCTATATATTAAACAAAACTCTAAATCCCCATCGGGAACAAAGCATATACCATAACAAGAACTGAAAGAAAACCAAGGTTTAAATACACAGAACAAGCCAATTGTCGAAATGAGCAACATGTGTAACTGATACTCAAACAATGAATAACCAAGCTAACCAACTGAAAACACAAGAAACTGAACTAGTCGCATGCAAAACCCACCCAAACAGGCACAAAACCAAGATTGTCTCTTGTGCTTTGTATACATTGTATGATTTTGGGCTGTCCCATATATTCACATAATTTAGTGTGCATGCAGTTTTATTTGTGATTTTTTGTAATGTTTCAGCATGAAGTATTCATTAACATTTCATTATATGCATATTTCCAGGAACATTTTGAAATGTAAACATATTTACAGGTATTGTATTTAAAACATTTTATTTTAGATGACAATGTGGAATTAAACCTTGTCATTACCTTGTGGAATTAACATCTCATTTAAAAAAAAATAATTATACAATACAATTATTGTTTTAAAATTATTTTTTTATGTATTATAAGTAAACACAAAGCATGTCTATTATGATTGACTTTATTTTCCTACCATCTTTTCACATGTAACCATTGCATTCATTATGTTTATGTCTGACCAGAATGTTTTTTTTTTTTTTTTGTTAGTTTAACAAATGTGTCCATTTGGCCACATTAATGGAACATCTCCCTTGACAATTATAAACTGCATTAATTCTTTATAAATATTCTGTTTCCTCCTGCAGAGCTCCTGGGTGCTGCTAAGAAGGTGAATGTGAACTTCCAGGACACAGACGGGTGAGTTTCATCTAAAATACAGTGACATCACATGATGTCCATCAATTACAGTTTTTCTGAATTGCTAAAAGGTAGTTAAAACACTGTTTGCAAATCTCATGCACTCTTTTTTCAAAACTCTAAACACATTCTCACTCACTAATTTCATTTCGCACTGTGATGCACTCATGTTTCAAAATGCTAAACTCAGGTAGGCGAAAGTTAAACACAACTGCAACACAGTTGTCATCGTTCACACACAACAACTCAAAATTGTTCCCACTTATTTCTAATGATGTGACCAAACCAACTGTACAAAATACAAGTCAGTCAAGAGTCTCAAAATTTACTCAAAATGTTGCACTGAATGTTGATACCAACAATGGATGGAAACAATATAAGAGGGTAAGAGTAAGAGGAAGAGCAAGGTGTGGAGAATGTTGTCAAGGCTGGATCTGGCTTTAGGGATTTTCCCTTCGCCTGCAGAGATGACATTGTCTGAGATGTGAGAAACTCCTCCGGCCGATCCAACATGAAGACATGACACTGAAGCAGAATCAATCTCTCTCACTGACCTTGATTCTGCAGAACTCTTCTGAGTGTACTTTTCTGTAACATACTTTTCATTTAGAGGTTTTACTCTAACCTTTTTGGCTTTTGCAGTTGGGTCGCTGTATTTTCACAATATGTGCTGAATATGCAGGCATTCGATAGGCCTACTATTCAATATTCAGTACAATACTATACCTTACTACTGTAAGTTGTCATACTTCTTTACGTAATTGCAAAACTTTGTTACAATTTAGTTTTGTAACTGTGTTTTCCATTTTTTGATGTGTAGTGTCTAATGAATGATCTGTAGTGTTGATAATTTTAATTGGCTGTGTGTATGAACTGAGAGCATTGTTTGATTTTGAGCACAGATAAAATGGTTTTGAGCCAATTGTTTGAGTCAGAGGAAAATTTTGTGTTTAAGGTTTTGAGAAAGTGAGTGATGTTAATTGAGTAGTGATCTGATGATATAGGCCATTCAGTGGGCATGTTAAAGGAAACAGCGTTTGCAACTTAATGTAACGTATTTCCAGGTGAAACATGGCAGTACGTTATTTTATTCATCGGCACTTGATTGGATTTTGAAAAGTGAATGTTATTCGAAATGGCCGTTAGGTGGAGGGAAGGGCTTGAAAACTATGAGTGATTGATGGCATCAGTACCATGCAGTCTGTTTCGAGTTCATGGTTAAGTTAGCTAGTGGACAGTGAGATTTGAATGCTGCAGTGTGCTAGTAGTAGTAGAGAGAGAGAGTGTGTGTGTGTGTACATTAGGGCTCTGGCAGAGAGAAATCTCTTATTCATGGAAGTAGGTCATAGCCTCCTGCTCAGTTAGACAGCGAGGGATCGGAGTAAAGTGGCAGAGTTGAGCTGCAAAGAAGTAAGATTAGGGACTCTCTAAAAAGATACGCATAAGCCTTAAAGTGCCCCATTATGCTCTTTTGGATTGGATAGTAGTGTGTAATATAGCCGTTTATGAATGTAAAAGGTCTTCAAAGTTTCAATGAACAAAGTGCAAGATAAAAGCAGTTATTGTCTCCTAAAAGAAAGAACCAATTCTGAACTGCCTAAAACGAGTCGTCAGTAATTCCAGTTTTACTGTACTTCCTGCTCAAACATGTAGGTTTGAACAAATTTTGGTAACACTTTATTTTACGACCCGCAAACAACTGTGTTAGTACACCGAAATTATGGTGTACGTTTCTGTAATTATAGTGTACTTCCGTGTAGGTATAAGGGAACAATATGTTAAGTTTGGGGTAATAAAGGGGTAACAAGCACCACTTTAATTTACAGCCCGCATGAGTTACACTTACTCAGTAACTACACAGAACAAGGGGGTAAAAAAACGCTACTTGCTATGTAGCAATACAAAACAACACTATTTCCACTGTAATTACAGAGAAAGGTACTGCTATCAAGAAAAAAAGAAAAAAAAAAAAGAAAAAAAAACGTTTTAATCGTAACATAACATTTGACCAATCAGAGCAGAGTAGGCTCTTGGAGGGGAGGGGTTTAGAGAGAGTGGACCAAACCATTTCAAACACTGAGAAAAGAAGTGATGCTGCGAAAAATAGCTTTTATGAGAATTTTTTTTTTAATAGTTTTATTTTATTTTTTTAGGAAACCTGTAAAATAGCAAAATATGGCCACTTTAAAGCACTTGGATTGGAAAGAGTAACTGATATATTAGGATTGGGTATTATGAGGACATATATATTAGTCTGTTTTGAAGAAGATTTCTTAACCATTGCAGGCCTAGAAATTAGTACATACACAGATCAACCTCAAGCTTTTCTGTAGATTTCTGTCATTGTTTCTACTCACAATTCACAAGTTTTTCTCCTTATTTAATTGCATTTTAAGTGTAAGTTGTTGACTTAACTAACTTAAACTTAAATTTTAAATTTTCAACATCAAATTTCATTGTTTTTGTCTATTCTAAATGGAGTCAATACGGGGGCAATTTCTACAAATTTCAGGACATGCACGGTTCTGTCTCTACCGGAGATAAATGAATGCCTTTGAGATAAATTTAATCAAACAGATTTTCAGAAGTCCAGTGTTTTTTTTCTTCTTCTGTCTGAACTGCTATTGTCTTTTCCATCCATAGTAATATCTATCTAATCTCTGGTAGGTTGCTGGTTGGAAGTTTACATGAATGACAGATGCTCTAAAAGATTTAGTACCAAATAAAGGTGAAAAATATTCAGTAACATTAATTAATACATATAAAGCAATCATACTATGACTTTGACATAATGATTTACTGTACCAAAGTATGACTTTTGTTTTTCTTATGTGACAGAAATTGGCTTCCATATTATTTGAGATACAATGAGTTATTTTAATTTAAACCAAACCACTCTTATTGTAACAATAACATTTAAAAAAAAAAAGTTTGAGTCATGTATTGGCTCAGTACTTTGTCCATATGAATGTTTCTTATACCAAAATATCCCTCCTACTTTAACATTGTACCATTTAAATCGATTCCAAAGGTTTCCCTCCAAGAAACCTTTGCATATATTTTTTTTCTATATGTCACTAATGGTTAATGCATATTGTGTTTGTGTGCTTTTGTTTTATAGGTTATCTGCCCTGCATCATGCTGCTCTTAATGGTAACGTGGAGCTGATTGCGCTGTTGCTCGAGTCACAAGCCGTCGTTGACATCAAAGACCAGAATGGTACAAGCACACAGCACCTTTTAATGGTCTCATATGTACAATAGTACATTATTTATTCAATATACAGATGAATCAGTTATTGAAATGGACTACCGTTCAAAATCGCTAAGAGTTTAATTTTTTTTTTGAAAGGTCTCTTTTACTCACAAAGGGTGTATTTATTTGATCAAAAATACAGTTAAAACTGTAAGCTAATATTTTAATTTAAAATAATTGTTTTCTATTTTCTATCTAAAAAAATACCGTCCCCTGTGGAAGCTTGTTTCCATAAATGAATATAAAAAAATATATATATAAAATTCTTTTTTTCAAAGAATTGCGTGATATAAACTCACAATTGTGAGTTATAAAATCAGAATTGCGAGATATAAACTCATTTGCTATATTTAAAGTCAGAATTGCGGATAAACTCACAATTGCGTGTTATAAAAATCATATTTCAAAATCATCTGAATTTTGTTTCTCAGAATTGTGAGTTTAGATCTCGCATTTCTGACTTCATAAAAAAAAGACTGACTTTTTTTTTTTCTCAGAATTGCGTGTTTATATCTCGCAATTCTGAGTTAATTACACGCAATTGCGAGTTATAAAGTTGGTCAATTGTGAGATAAAAAGTCGTAATTGTCTTTTATTTATTTTTTAATTTTTTATTCCATGGAGGAAACAAGCTTCCATAGTCCCCACACTTTTAAATGGAAGTGAATTTCTCATTCAAACTATCTCCCGTTTTCTGAAGGGATGCGGCCCTTGCATTACGCTGCTTGGCAGGGCAAGTGTGAGCCCATGAAAATGCTGCTCAAGTCAGGGTCATCAGTCAACAGCCAATCAGATGAGGGACAGATCCCTCTACACCTCTCATCACAACACGGCCATTATGAAGGAGTGAGTAAATGCACATACACAGTCAGACTTGCATGCTTATGCACACATGCTGTACACACGCACACACGTATACTCACTTTACTGCTCTGTGTGTGTTTCCAGAGTGAGATGCTGCTCCAACATCAGTCGAACCCCTGCCTCAGAGACCACGCTGGGAAAACCCCTCTAGACTTGGCCTGCGAATTTGGACGTGTCTCGGTTAGTTGCGCAGTGTTTTGTGTGTGTACTCAGGGGTTTGTGATAGATGGATGAGAAGCGGTGCTCCCCGGTGGGAACGAGGGAACTACACCTCTTCTCACGTTCTCAGCCAAATGTACAGTAGGAAGCCCGACATGCGCTCACACCCCGGTTTCCACTGCTTGCAATTGAGCACAAGAGACTCTTTCATAACAGTTTATTCAGACTTGGCTTTTGTTAAATGTACAGTTCACTCAAAATTAATATTCTGTCATTACACTGTAAAAAATATTTTCAAGATTTGTTATCACAACATATTTTCTTTTGTCAAATCAACTTTAGAATAATTTATTTAGTTGAGATAACTTATTATTTTGAGTTTCTGATGGTTAAATTAATCTACTTCATTCTATTAACTCACTTTTTCCAGTTCAATCAACTTAAAATTTTAAGGCAACCCAGGTTACTTACTTTTTTAAGTTAAACCGACAATATTTTTTTACAGTGTAGTAATCACAACATTTTTTCTTTTGCCAAATCAACTTAAATAATTGATTTAGTTCAGATTACATATAATTTTGAGTTTCTGATGGTTAAATTAATCTCCTTCATTGTATTAACTCACTTTTTCCAGTTCAATGAACTTAAAATTTTAAGGCAACCAGGGTACTTACTTTTTTAAGTTAAACCATCAATATTTTTTTTTTACAGTGTATTTGCAAACAAACGCTGCTCCAAACCCGTATGACTTTTTTTCTTATTGGAACAAACAGAGATTTTTTTTTTAAATTGTACTGGATGCTATTTTCATCCAACTGGGAGTATGTATGTATGTATGTATTTTTTGTTATTATTTATTTAACAATTTCAAATCACCTTGTTCACTTATTTATTTATGCAAGAATGTCTTTGTTTTTATGTGTATTTGATTATTATCTCTATTTGTTCATTTAATCATTTAAAATCTCATCTTTCGTGCAAAATAACCTTAAATGTATTATGTCCATGTACACTTTACTTCAAATCTTATGAAGCCACATTAGCCATACACTCTAAAAATGCTGGGTTGTTTTAACCCATCTTTGAGTCAAAAATGGACAAACTCGGCCATTGGGTTACATGTTTAAATCATATTTTTTACCCAACATTTGGGTTTGTCCATATTTGAATTTGACCCAAATTTGGGTTAAAACAACCCAACATTTTTAGAGTGTAGTTGTGTGTAAAAAACAGAGCAAAATGTAATCATTATACACTGACAATCTTCACCTGTTGACCATTGCAACTGGGTTATTCAGTTCATTGAGACCCTTCAGTGCACTAAATCAGTCTGATTTGTCAACGACTCATTCAGTCCACGGCTGCGTCCGAAAACTTAAAAATGCTGCCTTCTGAGGCATCAAGGGTTGTTTCAACTCAAATTTGGGTCAAATATGGACAAACCCAAATGTTGGGTTTGTTGGGAATCTTTCAATCACGTTATTACCACAGTCTGCTTTTTTGATCTGGGATAAGGCCTACACACCTGTTTAAGCTGTGTGTGAATGCATGTTTTCTGTGTGTTCCACAGGTGGTGCAGTTGCTCCTTAGCAGTAACATGTGTGCTGCCATGTTAGAACCGAAGCCCTCCGATCCCAATGGCATCAGCCCGCTACATTTGGCTGCCAAGAATGGACATATTGAAATCATCAAGTAGGTGCTCACTGGACTTCTTGGCTTTGCAATACGATGACTTTGTTCTTAGCCAGTTAAGAAAAAACAGCTGTAGAGTTGTCATTTAGGTTGTAGTTTTTATCTGCCACATCCTTCAAGTGAAGACATTATTATAAAAGTGCTCATATGTTGCACATGTCCTATAGCCAGATTATATTACAACTTTCTCATCAATATTTTTGAATATTGTTAATATATTTGGTTACATTTTTTATTTTAAGAATATATCTATGGACAGAATATATGCAAAGTCTGCAAAACTCGGGCAGATAAAGAGGTTATGTGAGGATGTTTGCGAGAAATTGTTTTATATTGCTTTCATTTAGCAGTAATAAATTCTGTACAAGGGGACAGACATTGACGGCGTAAAATCCTGACACAGCATTTAGCTCAGTGACACAAAACTGTCTCTGTGTCATGACTGATGTGGCAAGACAGGTCAGGAGCAAAGGGATCGGGGATGATGGGAGAAATGAAAGGCACTGTGGGCTGTCCGATCAGTCCCTGGAGGCTTCATTCATTAGATTTGCACACACACACATTCGAACCGAGCGTCCTCGTTTTTCCTTTTGATGGGCAGTGCCGTCACTGCCTAGTGACGCACGTTGTTAATTAGTGATTTCATCACTCATCAAATATTTTAGGCTGCTTGTGGATCAGTATGAATGTGTGTTTGGTTTGACGGATATGAAAGACACATTTTAAATGCCCATCCGTTCCTACACCACGGATTCTCAACTAAAAGGCCAAATCGTACAGTTTTGTACAGCCCTCCAATTGATTGAATCGCTGAAAAAATCTGAAGCATGGCCACAGTTCATCTACCTTAGTTTTATACAGGAATTATTATATTTTAAAGATAATGCTTTTTACATTTAATTGAAAGAAAAAGGTCTACACAGCTCAAAGTCACTCCAAAGCTAGTTATCAGTTTCTGAACTGCCTGAAATGCCTTGATTGTAGTCTTTGCTGGGTTGTTTGAACCCAAATTTGGGTAAAATATGGATAAACCCAAATGTTGGGTTAAAATGTAATTTCAAATTTTAACCCAACTTCAACTTTCACTTTGAACTGTAATTTAAAAAAAAAAAAATTTTAACCCAACATTTGGGTTTGTCCATATTTGACCCAAATTTTAGACTGTGGGGAACACATCACAATTTCTCATTTAAATAACTCCCTCTTAAGGCATACAGAAAAAACGTACAAGTCCTGGGTCAGCAGTGTTAGTAGTGTGTAGTGCGGACTGTTAGTAAGGGGCGTGACATTTCCAAAACCCTCTTGAAGTGGTTGACCAATCACAACACACTGATCCAGTCGACCAATCAGAGCACATTGTGCTTTTAGAAGGAAGGGCTTCGTAGAGACGGACAGGAACTAAACAGAAAATTCCTGACAAATTGGGAAGTGAAGTGCTGCAACAGTGTCAAAGATGTGAAAAATGTGTTTTTCAAGCATGAAAACCTATTCTAGTAGACCCCAAAAACTAAATGAATACATAGTTCCCACATGACGTCACAACATACGGGCATTTGCCGACCCGGCGCCATTGCTGAGGGCAAAACATAAGAAGAAGCAATACGAGTTGAACGAAGTGAAATGAGTTTCGTGCTATAAAGTGAAAATGGTCATCTCCTGCTGAGTCAATGGATGATAAAATCGTGCCGGAGGTTCAGTTAAATCGGGATTTTACACTATACCCGTCATTAGACGGATATGGATGTGAGAAGACTAAGCTTTTGTCCGAACAACGATGGAGATTATGGCTGGCGAGCATAAACAGGAAAGAAACTCACTCAAAACACGCACGAATTTGTTTGACAAAAGCACAATGTTGTGTTTTATTGCGAGTGTAAATAAATATAAGTTAACACGTTGCAGTTTGAATAATGTCCTGTATGAACAAAATGACGAGGTATTAAAAACATACAAAACAACATTGTTTCCACTGTTTGATCTCACATTCCAGCATTGCAATCTCAGATTATGTCCCTAAAGATCCCGCGTATAATGTAGTTCCTCATTTATTACATTAATTAAATTGCACGCGAGTTATTTATTTTAATATTCATGCACCGAACCATGACGCCCGCAAGTACATGCATATTACAGAAATCACCGGTGACTGGGGAACATAGGAATTAAGTTGTGCAGGCTATGGCTTTTTAATAGACAGATTAGCATCATGCTACTTCGCTATGATGACTTAAGTTACTTTTCCATTGATTGCACTTGAGCAAACGTCACCAAACCAACCCCACGTCAATCTGATCGTACACCTCCAGTGATTTCCAGGCTTGGAATTGCTCACATGTGTAAAAACTCCTCACCAATACCAGATAATTGTACACATGAAAATACTGTATCTGAGGCAAAGTTGCATAATCGGTGCTCAGTGCTTCTTTTGTTGCATAAGGATACACACCATTTATGAATGAAATTTTCGCATTGTACCTCTCTATGTCTTGTTTTAATAGTCTCTTTATAATCTATTACACTTTGTCTTTTCATGATTTGCATAACAATATAAACAGACATAAATATTTGTTTGTAAAACGACATTCTCTGATAAAACGTTGTAAACGCCTATGGTAAACACAGCGGTTTTGCCCTCAAAGATGGCGTCTCCGGGGAGGTCACGTGACAATTTTTTTGCCTGTGGGAACTATGTATAGGTGTCATTTAATACTTACATTTGATGTGTTTGTTGGACCCCTTTGAATAATCTTTCCCTGTAAATAAGAGTGCAAACAGTATCTTATTATGTTAGGCTATCTTATTATGTTCGTATTGATAAACTTTGTACTAGTTAGAATGATGTTGTGAAAGAGAGCCTTATCATGTGTTTACCAAAAAATAAATATAAAATGTTGTGTGTGTGTGTGTGTGTGTTCAGGTTACTGATCCAGGCTGGAATAGATATAAACCGACAGACTAAATCAGGCACAGCGTTGCATGAAGCTGCTCTCTGCGGGAAAATCGAGGCTGTACGACTGCTGCTGGATGTGAGTATTTCCAGTGAATGTCTAATAAGGGGAGAATTGCCACTGTCTGGTTACCTCCTGTTTCTGGACTGGCTGCAGTAACACGTCTCTGTCCATGCGGGGACGCTCGCGGTCGAGTGCAGAATGAATGGGAGTCCATGGGTTTCACCCCAGAAGATGTCATTTTTTGTCAAGTAATTTGAAAGTTGCATTCAAAAGGGAGATAATATAACTTATATATATATATATATAAGATAATACACTCCGCTGAAAATTATATTTTTAAATTCACTTATCTGTTCTAAAAATTCGTTCAAAAATGTGATGACGTCAAATAATAGCAGAATGCTAGCGTGTTCCGGCCAACAACGGCCTAACCTGTAAGAAATCGAAAGGACATAAGTACTCATTCGACTTTTGGTCTATAATCTATATTGAACTTGCGGAATCAACAATAAAATCTACGTTGATTCAACGACAAGCAGGAAAAAAATGATACGTTTAGCCGTCTAGCTCCATAGACTCCCATTCATTCAGAACTCGCATGCGATGCATGCATGCATTATATTATGTGTGGTGTCCACAATGACTTTTTGCCACCAATGGCATGCATTCATTTCGTTTTTTCAATATATATATATATTAGGGCTGTCAAACGATTAAGCACATCCAAAATAAAAGTTTGTGTTTACTTAATATATGTGGGTGCACTGTGTATAATTATTATGTATATATAAATACACACACATGCATGCACTGTATATTTAAGAAAAAAAAATATTTTTATATAATATAAATTATATAGAAGTCTATATACAGTATATACATGACAATATTTCTTAATTATATACACAACCATGTGTGTATTTATATATATACAAAATAATTATACACAGTGCACCCACATATATTATGCAAACACAAACTTTTATTTTGATGCGGGACAGCCCTAATATTTTTATTATAATCAATGCTGAAAACAGTTGCTTAAAATATTTTGGGAACCTTGATTCACACAGGATTTTTTTGATGAATAAATCTTTTGTAACACTCTAAATGTTTTTTTTTTTTTTTTTTTTTTTCACTGCCCCCTTTAATCAATCCAATGCATCCTTGCTGAAGAAAATATTAATTTGAAAAGATCTTTCCGATCCCCAACTTCTGAACAGCGGTGTAGTCTATTCTGTCACTGTCACAATGGATTTTTTTCCCCTTTGCATAGTAATGACAAAAAGTGCAGGTCACTGAGTCGCTCAAATCATCATGCATTGTACAAGTCTCCTTTTCTTTGTGAACCAATATGCAACATGAGCCTTTAATCTTAATGCTCAACTGTGGTAAAAATTTTTTAGAAGACATAAGAATAGAAGAGTTGAAACCGATGTTTTCTAGACTTGTGTGTGTTTGATATGAGCACTGGTTGTGTTTGGGAGTTTGCTGGTATGTCAAAGATTGTCATGTGAATGTGTGCATGTCTGTATTGTCAGTGTAATAACTCTGTATCATGTGAATGTGTATTCTGGCTTTTCTCTTCAGAGTGGTATCAGTGCTGGGGTGAGGAACACATTCTGTCAGACAGCGCTGGATATTGTTAACCAGTTCACCACTACACAAGCCAGCAAGGAGATTAAACAGATGCTGAGAGGTACAATGGGAGAAAACAAAAATTCACACGGAAAGGTAGAGTCAAAGGCTTTCTGAAATCACTAGTATATGTGTGTGTGTGTGTGTGTGTGTTCCTGCATACAGATGCATCAGCTGCTATGCAAGTGAAGGCTCTGAAGGATTACTGCAACAACTATGACCTTACAAGCCTCAACATTAAAACAGGCGACATCATCACGGTAAAGAAGCAATTATTTTACTGTAACAAAGTAGAACGTTGTGCATTTTTTTTTTAAGCTTAACTTAACTTTACACTTATTATTCAATAGACGATGCTATTCAAAAGTATGGGTCAGTATGATTTATTTTGAAAGAAATTAATACTTTTATCCAGAAAGAATGCATTAAATTGATCAAAAGTGACATTTATAAAGTAACAAAAGATCTCTATTTCAAATAACTCCTGTTTTTTTTTTTTTTACTTTATTTTAATCAAAGAATCCTGAAAAAAAAAATGCATCAAGGTTTTCAGAAAAATATTAAGCCGCACAACTGTTCAACATTGATATTAATATGAAATGTTTCTTGAGAGGCAAATCAGCATATAAGAATGATTTCTGCAGGATCATGTGACACTGAAGATTGAAAGATTATGCTGAAAATTCAGTTTTGCATCAGAGGAATAAATTACATTCGGAATTGTCACGAACACCAAAAAAATCAATTTTTGATTTTTTTTCATGGACTTAAGAAGATAAACTAAAAGTCCATGAAAAATAATGAAAAAATCAAAGATAACCAAGTGTTCATGACGATAAGAAAAAAAAGTAGTTACAACAATCGTAATAATATTACTGTTTTTTTTTTTTTTTTTTTTTTTTTTTTTTAATAAATGCAGCCTTTGTGAGTATATAATGGTATTTTAAAATAGTCCCCAACTTTTGAACGGTAGCATGTAAGACATAAGTAGTATACTTTTTGGAAACCTGGGTTCGACCTTATAGTCTTTATAACTTTATCCTTTTGGTGAGACTATGCAATAAGGTTATACAGTATTAACATAAGTTAATGCAATAAAATAACATTTTTAAACCAAAACTATTTTAGTTTTGTTGCACGGTGCAGTGCAATGTATTGGTTGTTTTGAACTCCAGGCACATTCTCCAACGTGTGTGTTTGCTCCTCAGGTCTTGGAGCAGCATTCTGATGGACGCTGGAAGGGCTGTATCCATGATAACCGCACAGGAAATGATCGCGTGGGTTACTTTCCGTCCAACATGGTGGAAGTCATCAAAAGGGCAGGTGTGCCATCGCATCGTCACATGAGCCTTCTAGGATATCATGCGACACATATGCACATTTTAATCCACTTTAAAATCAAGGTCAATCTGAAGCTCATACCTGGCATTTAAATGTTCATGTGTGTGGGTTCTGCTGAGTTTGTATTTAGTGCATGCATTTCTGCATTTATGAGTGTTTGTGTATTTATTGTTGTGTGTGTAGATTAGGGGTGAGCATTTTGTTAATTTCGTCTTCTTGAGTCCTCGGTTGATGCATCAACCGAGTAGGGAGTACACATTACTGTTACTATTGGAACAAACGTTTAAGTATAGAGTGCATTAGCCCTTTTTCCATTCACTTTTCCCATAGGGATTTAAAAAAAAAAAAAAGAATTATAAGCCATTAAACAAGACAATCAGCGATACGCGAACACTGCAAACTTTGATTTGAAGCAAAAATTATTTGAAAATCAGGAAAAAATACAAAGGTAAAAGACTGTGTATAACATCTTTATTTAGGGAAAGAACTACAATCCCATCAAGCATTGCGAAGAGCATGGTCGAATTAAAAATGATGGAGAAACAAAACTCACTTAGAATTGTTGATTATATGTGTATATATATATATATATATATATATATATAAAACCAATATATTTAGAGTGTTTTGCAGAATAGACATGTATATTCAAACATTTAAGTATTTTGAGAGTGTAAAGATATTTACTCGATTATGCCATTCGCAGTGCTTCATGGGAGTGGGCGGAACTAGCAAGATCTTTTGGTGCGTATTGCTTTTTCTCTGATTGGTGTAATTTTCTGTACAGCATCATGGGTAATGTTGTTTTTTCACCAATTCCTCTATTAAAATAGATTAGTTTTAAAAATAAGCTGAAATAATGTGGGCGGACATCTTCAGTTGAAACAAATGCCATTGATGAATAACCTCATAGCTCACAGTACGTCTATCTTTAAAGGAGTAGTTCACTTTTCAAAAAACTTTAGCTGATAATTTACTCACCCCATGTCGTCCAAGATGTCCATGTCTTTCTTTCTTCAGTCGAAAAGAAATTAAGGTTTTTGATGAAAACATTTCATCATTTTTCCTCCATATAATGGACTTCACTGGGAACCAAACAGTTCAAGGTCCAAAAGACAGTTTCAGTACAAACTGCAAACTGTTCAAAGGGCTTTAAACGATTCCAGACGACGAATAAGGGTCTTATCAAGCGAAACGATCGCTCGTTTAAAAAAAATAACAAAGTTTAAGTTTTATAAGCTCAAATGCTCGCCTTGCTCTGTACTGGACTTTCGTGACTCTCCTGTTCGAACTCGTTCATCAAAATGAACGAATCTTTTTACGAGTCAGTTCGTTCGTTTCGTTTGTTGAAAGAACCAAATGACTTGGAAAAAGATTTGTTCATTTTGATGAACGAGTTCGAACAGGAGAGTCACAAACGTGCATCACAGAACAGAGCAAGACGAGCATGTGAGCTTATAAAACTTAAACTTTGTTATTTATTTATTAAATGAGCGATCGTTTCGCTTAATAAGAGCCTTATTCATCGTCTGGAATCGTTTAAAGCCCTTTGAACAGTTTGCAGTTTGTACTGAAACTGTCTTTTGGACCTTGAACCGTTTGGTTCCCATTGAAGTCCATTATATGGAGAAAAATCCTGGAATGTTTTCATCAAAAACCTTCATTTCTTTTCAACTGAAGAAAGAATAAAATGGACATCTTGGATGACATGGGGGTGAGTAAATTATCAGCAAAAGTTTTTTTTCAAAAGTGAACTACTCCTTTAAGTGTTTATAAATTATCATTCAAAAAATCTATTTCCCTATGGAGAATAATATTGAATTTTTACTTCCGGAACCGACTGTTGCACTCTGTTTGTGCCGCTGATATAAATGATGCCTCAAATTATGAAGTGATCACGTGATTGTTTCCCTAGAGGATTATAAACTTTGATGGAGCTGCTGTCTTCTGCGTATTCAAATACATGAGTACTCAAGCCCAATCCTAGTGTTTGTGTGTGGTTGTGTGGGTGGCTGTTCATTCGCTCCATATCAGGGTTGCCAGATCTGCAGCATTTTCTGGTAAAAATCACATTCCAGGGGGGTAAAAAATTGCGTTCCGGGGAGGGGGACGCTTCAACCCACGGACTGCAAAAACAATCCAGTGGCAACAGTGTAAAACCACAGACTTGGCAACACTGTTCTATATCCAACTGCCCTGCCCTTTATCACCAGTCAAGTGATTGTAGTTAGAGGCGTCAGCTCGAAGACATGAAAGAGGGCAGATGAGAGTGGCTCATCTATGTGTCACTGTTCGGTCATCTCTGCGTCCACCTGTACCATCGTTTCCATGCCCCCCTTCCTTTCCTTTCAACTCACAGCCGTGGATTCACACTTCTGCACATTCGCACACATGCAAACACACTTTCACACATTTGTACATGCAGATCAGTGGCGACTGCTGCTTCTCAGGAGCAAAGAAACATCACATATCAATGTCAGAATGTGCACTCAGATTTACTTTGTTCTGATGTTTGCACAAAATATTTATGCGAAGCTGAGCTTCTAGTCATAATAGAATTGACAGTGATTAAAACTAGGCCTGCATGATTAATTAAAAGAAAAAAACGAAATTGTGATGTGGCATTGCGTGCTTAACAAATCCCCAAAATTGTGATTTAATTATGTAAATACATGGGCTGCATGTTTCAGAGTGAAGTTCAGCACTGTTACACGGAAGGACTCGTCTCCACAGCTTTGAGTTTGGGTCACTTAATGTGCGTTTGGGAACGCAGCATATGCCAACAATCTTCTCAAACTTTAGAAGTGCTTATAAACCAGCTAATGCCAACAAAACAAAAGAGAAGCTTTAAGGGTTCCAGAGGTTTTCTGCCAGAACTTACTTTTTTTTCCTTGAATATCCCTATTTTTATGGTGAGATATTAGTGTATAATAATTGTAATAATATTATTTTTTAAATTGTTGTTTAATAGTTATTTGTATTATCATTTTATTTTGTAGTCTTACAGATGTATTCACACATAACTTCTCTCATAAAGTCTGAGACCCAAAATAGTGTTTAGAGTCTTGCTGGATGAACATCAATATTTGCGTAATTTAAAATCAGTATTAAGTGGGACTCTATGGACCATGAAATCCATTATTACTTTATAATTTTTAAAAATGTTTACTTTAATATTGCATTGGTGTAAAGAGTAGCCTACAAATCATACTTAAAAGTTAAAGTAGTTACAAAAAAAAAGTACAAGTCACCAAAACCATCTGTGTAAAAGCATTTAATTCACAATGAATGTAGATGCACTACTCCTTAAACCTAAGAGACATGCCCGTGAAAAACAAGAAACAGCTGATTTGTTTTCTAAAAATTGGAAATTAATTTAAAAAAATATCAAAATTGAAACTACTGCAGAAATAAAGACACCTACATCTTGAGGTAAGCTAAAACATACAAAAAATCTCTTTCAAAGTGAACTATCCCTTTAAGCACGTAATTACATTTACTCAAATACTTTACACCACTGCAATAATGAAATGTAACACTGATTGACGTACACATTCCAACACACTTCAAATCCTCATTTTCTCCCTTTCCGTGCATGAATGTAGTCTGCATGCATAACACACAGATCAGTTATAAATTTGGTGTTTTTGGGAATGCATTTCAAGTATGTTTTGTGAAAATAGTATGCATGAGTATAGTTATTTTTTCAGTTTTCTAAAGCGTTAATTTTCACCTTGCATGTTAACTTACAGGATAAAGATAAGCTCAGCTGTAGAGTTAGATATTTTTGCTTGAACATGTTTTGTTTTGTGTTTCCTTTCCTGTTTTGTTGTTGTTGTTGTTTGTGTTTTTTGGTGTCGCCTGTTGTTCTGTTGTACCCAGGTCCCTCAACCCAACAGTATCTTAAGATACAGATCCGTCCGCCAGCAATTGGTTCAGTTGTCATGGTGAACGGTGACTGCTCCCACATTTTTTCTCTGCCCCTCACTCCCCCACCCCCTCCTTCCCAGCCCCTTACCCATCAGCCCCTCTTCACCTCATTTGGCTATAATATGCCTACCTGCAGCACAATTGGGTATGAACCAGCCTCCTCCTGCTCAGAGGAGCCACAAAAAGAGACAGGTATAAACACACACATACAGTCAGAAAAATACACATGTACCCGTCATAAGCATATCATGTCATACACCTGGCTTTTTTTAAAACGTCATGACCATAGTGAAATGGAGAAAACAGGATGTGAATCTGAATGTCTTTGAGAAAGTTGGATGTGTACCATACAAAATAAGCAGAATCAGAGATATTTGTGTGAAGAACATGTCTAGGCCATATTTCAAAGTAGAAAAATTATGGTTTCCATAAAGAAAATGTTTTTTTTTTTTTTTTTACTGCTGTGACTTTTTTGAATGTCTATTTAGCATATTTCCCCCCAATTCTATTTACCATATAGTGCAAAAAAGTATCACAGTTAGTATGAAAAATTATATAATTATATATTATATACATATAAAAAATACTGTTATTCAGCAATGATTAATGAAATTGATTAAACATTAAAAAAAAATCCATTTAGGGAAATGCTGTTTTTTTTTTTTTACTTTTTATTCATTAAAGAATCCTGAAATCAGTTTCAACAAAATATATTAATAATAAAAAATGTTCCTTGAGCACCTAACCAGCATATTTTACAAGTGATGATCATGTATAATCTGTAGTGTATTATTAGTCTTTTTATGCATATTTAAATAAAACAAACTGTATTACTGTACCTTTTTAAATGTAATACTGCAGAAATGACTATTACAGTCATGAAAAATCTTGGTAGCACTTTATTTTACAGTCCTGTTTCCCATGTCCCTACTTATAGTAATACAATAACTGGGTAATAACTCGGTACTACCCTGACCTACCCCTAAACCTAACCTTAACCTATGTAGTTACTGTACCTGATATTACCCAGCAATTTCTTAAGTACACACTGTAAAATAAAGTGCAAGAATTTCAGTTGTAGACATTACATTTCACAGCTAACTAAAGTTTTATAATTCAGTCTGAATATTTTGGTACTGTATTTACAAACTTAACGTACATGTTCATCAGCAAGGATCCCAGATTACTGTTGGATATGCTACAGTCCATTTGAACTGTCCCCAAATGATCCCTTTACTATCTGCTTCCTCTGTGTGTATCTGTTTTTTGCAAATTAGGAGCTTGCAAAGCAATGTATTTCATTCTTACATCACTATGATTGTGCGTGTGTGTGTGATATCTTTTCAGGCTCAAGGGATCCGTTTCCAGCCCTCATGGTTCTCCAACCCTCAGCGGCCAGCAAAGCAGCGCAAATGAGGAGATTTGGGTTCTGAGAAAACCTTTAGCTGG